AAAAAAAAAAAAAAAAAAATCTTGGGAAGAGGTATGGATCAGAGCCTAAGCTCTGATACCATAAAGGAAAACATGGTAGGATCCGAAAATAACATATAAACAAAGCATAATAAATGATGACAAAGACTTTTCATTTGAAGATGGCATTCTTTGATTTCTGCTATGTTTCTTCATGTTAAAGAACTATCCTTTTACATTGATTGATCTCTTTACAACCTACAGAACCTATATATATGACGGCTACAATCTCAACAAGTATGGGAGAGCCTATTTTCTACATTTAATCTCAACCACACAATCCATGATAGGGTTAGCTTAGTTTTTTGCCATTTCTGCGTTTTTGTCTTCATGCACTGCCATGCACCACGTCAGCTGTGGCATGGCTCGAGTGAGCTGTCATCCTAATAAAAATAGGGCTGGGACTTGGGAGTGTTATCAATGTCGTCATTTTCAATTTTCACAAAACTTCAGAATTCACTCATTCAGCCCTAGCCCTCGACCCACTTCACCGAAAATAGGGCTGGGACTTGGTTCTCTTTATAGATCATATTTTTAGTATTGTTGAATCATAAATCTCTTACTATCTCATGCCTCTGTTTGAAAGTTTGGTTGTGCCTCTGTTCAAGTGTTTATGCCTCTGTTTTATTTGTTTCATTTCAATTGACTGCCTCTCTTATTAATGCACGGTTGAGGATAAATCTGTGGCTTAACTTGTTTAATCTCTTTCATCCTATCTGTCTTGCCTTTCTTCTTTGGTGTGGTCTTCTAGATTTCATGTCTCTGGTCCTCTATTAGTCCGTAATCTGTTAACATTTCAATTTCATGCCCTCTTTCGGTTTGTTTCGGTTTTGGTCGGTATAAACCAAAACCGAACCAATTTTCAGTAACCGAAAAAATCGGTTACCGAATTCTTATCGGTTCAGTTTCGGTTTGCATATTAGTCAAACCGAATGTGGTCGGTTCGGTATCGGTATTAGGTTATCGGTTCAGTTACCGAACCGATACCAGCCCTACATTGGAGGGTTATTAATAGGGGTGTAAACGAGTCCAGTCGAGCTCGATTCATTAACAAAGCAAGCTCGAACTCAGCTCGTCAACAAAACGAGCTTGAACTCGACTTGAATCGAATCATTTATTCTAGTTTCATAGTAAGGACATAAATTAGAGTCACTAGTTGAAATTGGCTTTCTAAGATCCATGATTTTGAAAAATAAAAATAAAAGACATAAGGTTACTGTAAACCTATTTTTATGGGCTCCGATGGATATTCAAAAAAAATAAAAATAAAAATAAACTCATATCTCGTTAACTAAACGAGCTTTAAGCGAGCTCACGCTCGGCTTTATTATGTTTAACAGTTGTAGTTATCAACTAATGTCCATAAATATTCATCCACCATTGATCCAATTCCTTGCATGAAGAATGTGGCAACCTCTATTATTTTTGGTGTTTTCAGGCCACTCTCCAAAGATACATCAAATAGATCAAAGACACAGCAAAACTATCTTTACCATCTATTTCCAGCATAAACTCCCCTTCAAAATCTATTTGATCACAAAAATTTCCCAACATAGAAAAAAAAAATATCACACTTGTATCATATATCATATTGCCCCCAAAGCACGACTACGGCTATATACAATACCACCCGAGATTCGCATTATAACTAAATATAGGAAAAATAAATGGAATTTAAAACATATGTATATAACTTACATAGTCGGAACAGAAAACGACGAATCCAAACCGTCCAAGATATCCAACACGTCAGCCTTCTGATGCTTCGTACCTCTTCTTGGCGAGCTCCCGGTGCTCTTACTCAAAGCCCAAATCTTACTCTTTCTATTACTATTCTTAGCAGGCCCGAATTCCTGGCTTTTGCTAAGGCCCGGCAAAAGCTTCCTCCTTTTCATCACGTCCTCCAATAGATTCCTATCCTCGGACGAGATGTGGGCGGCTCGGGAGCTATTTTGGGCCTTGGCCCAAATGCCGGTTAATAACCCCTTTTGAGTCGGGGAGCGTGTATGGAGAGGCTTGGGTAGCCCGTTGTCTCGGTACCTTACGAGGCTGACTAGGCGATGGAGCCATGTGACGAGCTCAAGAATGTGGGCCTCTACCTTGGGCCTGTCCGCATGGTAAAGGGTCTGCAGGCGGATGATATTGTTGGGTGGTGTGCTCGTTTTCTTGCCGAATTCGTTGCTGCAATGGGGAAAAGAAGGGCAATTTGCGAAAGTTAAGGTAATTTGTTGTGGGGTTTCGATTTCGAATGTCTATTTTCAGAAGGTGTTTGTTATATTTGACTCACCCTGTGTTGGCCCATTCGCCGACCCATCCGAATCCTTGATGTGCCCTGATCACAATAAAATCCAGTTATTGTATTTGTATAAA